GACAAGCAGCTTATAATGTATGATAATCAATACTCAAAATCTGTTTCCTCTGATGTGACATAAAAGAGTGAAGGGAAAAGACACAGATTTTCAAAACTAGAGCACCAAAGCTTATGCAATGCAGGTTGTTTTCACTTCAAGGTCATTCAGTATTTGTTTCTTCTTCTTTTTTTGCTTCATATTTAATTCAGTCACTGCTAGGATGCCCAGGGAGCAGAAATGGAAAGTTAGTCGATACTGTGAGTATGAATGCAAGTATAAAAACTGCTGTAGCAAATACAGGAAATGAGAAGGGGAAGGAAGATATGGCATGCAATATATATGATATATATCTCTTTTACTTAGAGATTGCCAGAAAACTTTGTATTTTTATTGGCAGTAATGAATAATGTAAATACTGTGTAAGAGTTATCCTTGTACCCCGTGTATGTGTACACACATGCATAAGAGCTAAGAATTTAAAATCTTAGAACATAACTTGGTTATAACAAAATTAACCTAATCAGTCTTGAAAATTGCAAAGCACAGCTTGTGGCATAGTACTGAATACCTAGTGTAGTTAACTTATTTCCAGTGGTTGAGACCTTCTCTGATGTTTACCTTTCATCTAAAGTTCATTCATTTCAATCTCAGTTCAGAGAACAATTTTAGTAATTTCTTTTCTTTTAAACAAATACAGTTCAGTTAAGTTTTAGAGTAGGAGACAGTGTCGAAATAGAATTTCCCAGTTGTATATTTCGTATGCATATATAGATGTTGTCAATGTAGACAGCAGAGAATTGTGTATAAATATATGAACATTTATTTAATGTATTTTAACATAATATGACACAGAACTACTACTTGAAAGGCAGGAAGGCTTTCACTTCTACAGATGGTCTTTTTGTGGTTTAACGAAATAGGCTATAATGTATTGAAATCTTCCCAATTGTGTTCACTGGTCGTCTCCCAGTACACCATGAGCTCTTGACATATTGAATATGGTTAGACAGTTTTACAGGAAGTGCTACTGCTTTTTCTGTGAGAAAGAAAGGAGTGGAGTCCTGATTTGATGGAATAATCTAAAAGAAAGAGAGCAGCAGAGAGAAGTGCTGGTACACTGATTATGCAGTTCTGAGCATCTTATGGTAGCTAACGTGCAGCAGGTTTTTATTTTCATCTTTTGTTAAAAAGTGATCAAAATTATTTACAAAAATTCATACAAAGGATAGTTAAGTTTACAAAATAAAACAGTCAGTTGGAAAGGCAATTAATTAATTGTTCACGGAAAACATTAAAAGTGCCAGAAAGCTCTTACTCAGCATTATCATGAATTCCATACAAGAGAAAAATAACTGTAGATACGGTTAGAGATAATCCTAAACAAAACACTTGTTATTTCTCCTTATTACATAGGTCCACTTTTAAAGCTAGAGGCTGAGCTTGCCACAAATGTACTCTGTAGGATTAGGAAGAGAAAAAGAACAAAATTAATTAATAGTAAGTGTTTGCAAAATCTGAAGTTCTAGAATTAACATTGAAAACTTTGGGCTTGGGGCATTTCTTTGTTTGTTTATTTCTGTTGGATTTCTATGACAAAACATAATCAAGCCTGGCTGGTATTAACTGTTGCTCATCCAATGCTAACATTTGGAACTTTCCTCTCCAATGCTCTTGCACCACACGCCTTTTAAAATATATTGATTTGGTTTGTTCTGTGGAGTTTTATGCTTTCCTTTTTTTTTTGAGAGAGAGAGAGAATAGCAATTTCATTTGGCTGTTTTAAGCAGCAGATGTTGGATGCTGTAGAAGCTATGGAATACTAAATACAGACAACTTTAGTGCAGGTGAGCTAATGGGTGGAATGAGGTGTATTGCAATGTCCTTTATTTCTATGGCTTCCTTTTCATTAAGCAATTGTCACCACATATGGTGTCTCTATGGTTATGCATACCAATGTCACCTCCTTCAAGCGAAGTAAAATCAAACACCACCAACTTAAATCTCTTCCTTAAACTATTTTCAGTCCTGTCGCTGTGTTAAAGACCTAGGGATGGGGTTGTCTTTTACTCTTGTTTTTCATTACGATAATTTTCTTTTTTTTTTTTTTTTTTTTTATGTTAAACCAGAGTGAAGCTTTTTTTCCTTGGAGGTCATAGAATCATAGAATGGTTTGGGTTGGAAGGGACCTTGAAAGATCACCTAGGTCCAACCCCAATGCCATGGGCAGGCACACCTTCCACTAGATCAGGTTGCTCAAAGCCCCATCCAACCTGACTTTACAATCTTTGAACGATGGGGCAACCACAGCTTCTCTGGAAAACCTGTTCCAGTGTTTCACCACCCTCATATTAAAGAATTTCTTCCTCATGTACAATCTAAATCTACTCTCTTTCAGTTTATGCAGCCCAGGATAGAACTGGCTTTCTGGGCTGATAGCGCTGTTACCAGATCGTGTGCCATTTTTCATCCAAGTCCTTCTCCACAGAGCTACTCTCAGTTCATTCATCCCCCAGTCTGTATTGATATTGGTGATTTCTCAGACCCAGGTGCAGGACCTTGCACTTGGCCTTGTTAAATTTCATGACATTCATATGTCCCACTCCTCAAGCCTGTCAAGTCCTCTCTGGATGACATCCCTTTCCCCTAGCAAATCAACTGCATTTCTCAGTTTGGTGTGATCTGCAAACTTGCTGAGGGTGCACTCAATGCCACTGTCTATGTCATTGATGCAGATATTAAATAATGTTTGTCCCGGTATGGACCCTTGAGGAATACTACTCATTACTGGTTTCCACTTGGACATTAAGCCATTGACTGCAACTCTTTGCATGTGACCACCCAAACAATTCCTTATCTATCTAACAGTCCACCCATCAAAATCATATTTCTAATTTACCAGTAAGAATATTTGTGGGGGACCATATCAAAGGCCTTACAAAACTCTAGGTAGATGACATCCATAGCCGTTCCTTTGTCCACTGATGCAGTTACTCCATTGTAGAAGGCCACTAGAGTAGTCAGACACTGTCTGCCCTTGATGAAGCCATGTTATCTGTCTCTAATCACCTCCCTGGCTTCCATACATTTTGATATATCTTCCAGGAAGATCTGTTCCATGATCTTACCAGGCACAGAGGTGAGGATGACTCGCCTCTATGAATTTCATATTTAAAGCCTCACTGTTACATTATTTTCCTCAAAAATTGATCTGTGTTCTCCTTTCCGTGTACTCCATTCTGTCTTGCTATTGCTGTTTTTTTTAGGGCTTACACCAGTTTCTTTAAAATCTTCTTAAACTATTCAAAGAAGGGAGCTCATATACAGAATGACACTTTTGCACAGAACTGTATCATTAACAAGTATGAGTTCTGAGTAAATTCTCACCCCAATTTTACTGATCATTGTGACATAACACAATTTTATTTAATTTAAGTCACATTTATTCTTGTCTTTTTAGAAATTTGGACAGTCAAAGCGGTTTACACTATTGGATTCTCATAGATCACCCTTGGTGTTTCTTCTGGGTCAGGTCTCTGCAATGTAACTGGCCATGAATCTGTTGGTGATATTATAAGACTACTAGGATATTTTTTTATAAATTGGAAAGATGATGTTCACTTAACTTTTCCCTATCTTTGGGTCAACAAGTTTGTTCTGCTTTTCTGAAGACCTGTTGTGCATGTTTGTGTGTGTTTCATCCTTACATTTAAAGGTATACTCATAGTTTTTTCTCTAACTGGTATTCCAGGCATTTCGTAAATACTAAATTTCTCAAATAAAATAAACATTTGAACACATCTGCCAATTTTGTGGAAGAAAAAGATTAATATCTAAAGACTAGTGTATAGCTGATTGAAGCCTAGAGATAGTAAAAAGACTAATTCTATCAGTATTAACTAGAGACTACTGAGAAGAAAAAAAAAAAAAAAGCAACTCGGATCAGAGTTACTGATACTACTGATAGTTTTCTAAAAACACAGATTTGAGAGGTATTTCTGGAATTTTCCTTACCCCTGACATTGGGTTAGAGTCATGTGTGCAATTACACAACGGTAAATGGCGGCCCAAACATATTCTGTTAGTGTAAAATGACAGACAAGCTAAGGTATTAAAAGCAGAAAGTTTTATTTGAATTGTAGAACAGGAAGCATCAACATTTATATTTGGAAAATGTAATGAATAAAAAAATCTTATTTAACTATATTTCTTGAAAGAAATAAGAATATAGAAATACTATCTGAAAATGTTATCAGTTCAAATAGTGTGTCACAGTTTGTCATTCTTCCAAATTGTATGTATTCAGCAAATCCATTTTCACTTACTTGCACTAAAATAAAAACGGCAAAACTGATTACATGATCCATACTCATGTCTAATAAAATTGCAATATGCACTTTTTGACAAGCTTATATTTAATGCATACTGATGGAAAATTCTAGTTCTCATTATCAGCAGGGAAAGTAGACTTTTTAGGAAAACATTTTTATTTTGTGACTGTCACACAACATAACAATTATAAATGAAAAGAAGGTGACAAAAATGAAAAGCCATCTTGCTGATTTTTATGAAGTGTTTATATTTCCAGAAAGGCAGTCATTGCTCAGTTATTTGAGTTGAAAAATTAATCCTGATAATGCCTTTTGAGTTCCTTAAGTACTGTTCACTCTATTCTAGGATGAGTTTTACAGAACAAAGCCTAACAGATTTCTACAGCAGATTAGTTTACAGATGAAGCTCAATTCCACTGAGAATGATTCTCTAATGACCCCTTTATACTTCCATTGGGCTGTGTGAATGCTTTAATACACAGAGAACAGAGTTAAATAAATCTATTGTCTCAACTAACAGGTTTATACAATCCTTCTGAAATATGTTAATTATAGCTTTTTCTTTTTCTCCATAATTAAGAAACCAGATGTCAAGTAAGCTCATCACGTGTTGATCATAGCCTATCCATTAGTTTAAAGAAATCCACTTGTAATTAGAGTTTTTTTTTCTCTTTCTCCTTTGTTTCACAGAGCAAGAAGAATGTGTTAACTGCACAGATGAATGCAGAGTGCTTGGTCATTCTGACAGGTGTTGGATGCCACAGTTCCCTGCAGCCAGTCAGGCTGAGAATGCAGATTATCGCACAAATCTCTTTGTACCCACAGTTGAAGCTAATGTTGAGACTGAGACATACGAAACTGTGAATCCCACCGGGAAAAAGACTTTTTGTACATTTGGGAAAGACAAGAGAGAGCACACTATTCTCATTGCCAATGTTAAACCTTACTTAAAAGCCAAACGTGCCCTGAGTCCTCTGCTTCAGGAGGTTCCCTCAGCATCGAGCAGCCCAACCAAGACATGCATTGAGCCTTGCACCTCAACAAAAGGACCACTGGATGGTTGTGAAGTGAAATCAGGAGCCTTGGCTGAACCAAGCAGCCAGTACTTGTCAACTGACAGTCAGTATCTCTCGCCTAGTAAACAGTCAAAAGACGCTCCCTTCATTGCATCAGATCAGATGGCTAGGGCCTTCGCAGATGTGCATTCCCGAGTGAGCCGAGACTCAAGTGAGATGGACTCTGTTCTGGAGCAGTTAGACCGTTCAGCCCGGGATCTAGGCAGGGAGTCGGTGGATGCCGAGGAAGTTGTGAGAGAAATAGACAAGCTCTTGCAGGACTGTCGGGGAAGCGACCCTGTGGCCGTCAGAAAATGAGGGGGAAAATAAGGACAGGCTGGCAGTTACATTCCTCTTCTGCTGATTAAAAATAAATAAATAAATAAATCCCCTGGTTGTAACAGATTTACAGGCATGAAGGAAGACCAATGCTGCTTTAAGGCTATTAGTGAACATCTGAAGTGCCCACAAGTATGTTCTTTTCACTGCTCTTTCTTTTTGACAGATAACACTGGTTTCATTTTGACCAAACTTTCATTAGGACAGAGTCAAGTACACTAAGGACAAAACATAAGAAGGAAAGACGGTGCCATTTTGACAATCTGATAGGAAGGTGTGAGAAAGGTGGAATGGAAATACGTCTGATACTTTAAGACTGTCCTCAATAGCTGATGCTGACTTTACTGTTTACGTATAAACCCCAAGAAAAACAGGGTTGAATAATTCCAATCTGTTGGTGGATTTCCAGCAGTCACCACAGGCTTCTACTGAAAGTCCTAAAAAGAGTTCTTGTAGTAGTCCAAGTGACACCAAACATTAACATTCATTTGTGGTAAACATTTATGTACAAAGTTATCTGCCACAGAGATGAAAAAAAAAAAAGAAACACTAAAACAAAAAAACGCATTTCAGATCATTATTCAACAAAACATATCCTGACCATTAGTAAAATCTTCATATCATATTAAGGTTAAATGTAAAATGATATAGTCCATCTTGTCCTGCACACACATAAGGTAATTCACTTGATAAAAAGAAAAAAAAAGATTTTAATATCTATTTAGCTTTTTAGTGTCCAACAAAACTATAAATAGTTAGCAGTAAGTTTTAAAAAAACTGAAGTAAAATAAAGTTTGAAAAAAAACCAACTTACCTTTAAGGGTAATACACAAAAGAAATTAACATTATTAACACTTTTTTATTCATTTGTGGACACTAAAATAGCTCAGGAAAGTGAAAATGTCTTAGGCATCCACAAAAATCACATGATCATTTAAATGTGCAAATGTAAGAAGATTCAGTGTGTTTACATCAAATGACATATTTTTATTGATTTATTGCAGATTCAGTGCATATGAGCCAAATTGTTGAGTGTATAAGAGCTATATTGTGTATTTTATTAAATTAATATATAGTTGTGTTGCAAAAATATTTGGGCTTATATTGTAAATGGCAAGTGTTGCCTCAGTAGCTGTCGAACTCTATGAGTTTTGTTTTTTCCTGCTTCCTTTTCCCCATGGATTGTGGGAAGCAGCGCCTCAGAGCAAAGTCTCTTGTTTAATGTATGGTCTACGAAGTACTGCAGTACATAATCTGTTCAAAATGTGTTTGAGTGAGCTGATGGAGCTAACTGAACGGCCTACAAATACATCCATCAGTCATGGTTAAGTGCAAGTCCTTGTAGAAGCTTCTATTGCAAACCCATGTTTAATAACAGAAATTACACTTGAACCAACATCTGGAACCTCTTTGTTTGTTTTTTGTTTTTTTTTTTCTAAACACATACAGCCAGCCTGTTTAATGTAGAATATTTGATTGACTTCTTAAGAGATGCCACGATTTTCAAAGTTTCACTATTAAGTTCATAGAGCTGAAAAATGTGTCAGTGTGGCACAGGCAGTATTTTATCTGGTTCTTTAGAATGTGCAATGGCTTACTGCAATTCTAGATATATGCTGCTTATTTTGGGGGGTGTTTTTAGTTTCATTTTCATTTGTTCTGAAAGTAACTTGGGATACAGTTTCTACTTTTATTATTTTTTCTAAAGGTGTGTTTATTGCATTTGAAAAATGCAAAATTGCCTTCAGATGAAAGGGAAAAAACAACACACATTCAAAATTAACTTCTGCAGAACAAGAAGAAGCAGAAGAATAAAATGTTTAGCTCAGGATTTGTCCCTTATACACTTCAGATACTCTGTTGGAAATACCACTACAGCACATTGTTAAAAATGGTGTATTTGGTTTATTAAATTTAATCTACAATATACAAACATATATAAAAGAGGCTGGCAATCTCAAGTCCCACAAAGCCATAGTTTTTATCAGTTCAAGAAAGAAAGTTGACCCAACAGCCTATTTTGATGTTGGGATTGCTGTTAAATGGTGATTTTAGCTAGTCAGTCCTACAATGAATTGTCTTTGGGAGACACCATTCTGACAGTTTGCTTTTAGCTCCTCCTGTTAAAAAATCTACAATTACATGTGAAAAAAAGGATCTTGTACATGTTTTATCAAGCTACTCTCCATGTTTTGGACAATTTATGTATCTCAAATGTGGTGTTGTCTGTGTTATTTTTTTCTTAATTTTTTTTTTTTTTTTTGGCCAGGAGACCTGAGATTGGTTTTGCTTGATAGCTTGATAGCTTGAAATTCCATAGTGGAGAGGATTTCTTATTGTTTGATCAGTCTCTTATACGTATTTCCGTGGTGCCCATCACTTTAGTGTCTGTGCACCAAATCTTTAGCTCTGCCAGTGAGATCCATTATTCAGCAAAATCTAAGCCAGTATGTAAATGCAGTCAAGTGATGGAGATTTGTGTATTTTATAAATGATTTTAACACTGAGTAACCAATTGTACAATTCATTGTATGTTTCTGAAGACATAAACCCACAACATTCTGAGAAAGGGCTGTGCCAATGTAAGAGGAATTTACCTTAAGGCTCTCTGTCACTAGTGATTTACTAGCTTTAGCTGTTTAACACATTATCTGTATTTAGTAGTGATTATTTATTTACCACTCTGAGGTAATTCAGAATTCATGACTCACAGCTTTATAGAAGAGTTTAGGAAATCTTGCTTTTATTTAATTCGGCTGACAACTGCCTTGTGTTGTAGATCTCTGGCATACAGCTTCCAGTAAGGATATCCCAGGTCAAAAAAAAATCTGTTTCACAACTTAGAATGGGTACATAATGAACCAATAAACCAGCAGAGCTTATACAATATAAGTTTTGCTGGTTCAATCAAATTTAACACGATTGTGCATGAATGAAGTACTGCACACAAAATAATTTTAAAAGTATTTTTTCTCCATGATATCTCTACTATCACCACTGGAGAAAGAGGCAGCAATGAAAGATAAAGTTTATGAGTTGTTTCTTTAATTCCTTCCATATATGTTTTGTAAGACCGAAAGAAAATATCTGCCACGTGATCATAAAGATATTGGTGGAGTTAAGGGAGGAGAGTTAAGTTACTAATAAAATTGTACTGTACACTGTGAATGGCAAATATTTATCTCTTTTTTATTAAAGAAAGCCAGCAACTGGGAGTTCCTTAAACAATTGGCCAATCAAATCAGAATTCAAAATCAGATTTTTTTTTTTTCTGTTTTTTTCTTGGCATATTTATCAGGAAAGAGATTCTCCTGAACTGTGATTTGCCACTTGAGAGAATATAGGTTTCCAAGTTACCCCTAGAAAACAACCACGGCTTACAATGGAGAAAGATACGTCATTCAAACAAACTTTCAAGCTGCTTGCTGTCCAATGGAAGGGAAATTGCTAAGGTCAAGGAGTCTGAAGCCTAGCATAATATATGTCCACTCATTATTGTTTAATTAGTTTCTTTTGACATTAGGCAGTTATTATTATTGCATTAATTCAAAAGGGAGTTTTGGCTATCAAGATTTGTTGATTTGAAGTGTAATTGAATGAAACCTGATTAAGGTTTTGACTTCTCTGGCCCAATTGTGATACAGGTCGGCATTCACATTTATCAGCCCCTGTCTTCCCATGTGGCTCAAAGTTGCACCAATGACTGGTGAATGACAGAAAAAAAAAACCCAAAAAACCAAAACCGAAAGCAGCATACATTGTATGGATTATCTCAACCGCTATTGTTTAATGGCTGTGTTTAATGTGACCTATCTGGAAAATGAGGACTACGAATAAAAAGCAATTACTAATAGTGGTGTTGCCTGCTTTTGCATTCATTAACACAAAAGAAATGTGTTAAACACTGCATACCACAGGGAGCCTGATGGTAATTACTTTGGAAAAGCAACTTGTGGCAATGCGGCTGTTACAGCTAGTTATCAGTTTGCCAAAAAAATGACAGTTCCTGATTCATTTATTAGAAACGTGTAACTGTTTTCTCTCAACAGGAAGGTGGTGAAGAGTTTTCATCAAGCTGGGTAGGTTTATCTTTTAAGCAGCTGATGTGCTGAATCCCTACAGGCTGTTATTTGCTCACAGAAACATGGAGCTGAATAAAGGATAGTTCAGTTTAGCACACTGGTGTGAGTTCACCAAAAGCACTGTAAACGAGGGTACGAGTTCTCAAAGACTGTCAGCCTAACATGAAAGATCAAAACACTGCTTGAGTATACAAGTGGAGAAAATATCTGAAGACTGTAAAGGGTTGGGTTTTTTGTTTCTTTTTTAAACTTGTCTTTCTTAAGAGCTTGAGTAATAGAGGTGAATAATTTTATTCATGTTGCTGTAAACAATGTGACAAAATGCTGGGAAAAAATGGCTTAAGTTCTATGTCTGGTTGTTTGAGTTCATTATTATAATTTAATACTTCTGTTAACCTCTTTTTTTTTAGTTTGTTTTGTTTTGTTTGAGTGTAATGATTAATCGCTCAGAATATGTGGCCCTTTCTGTCTGCCCCTGTGAGATTGTAGCAATGACATATCAAATAGTGTAAAGCCTCCACACTGGATTTTTTTTGTTTGTTTGTTTTGGAGGGTTTTGGTTTAGGGTTTTTTGTTTGTTTGTTTGGGGTTTTTAACCAACAATTGAGTAAATAGGTGCTGCTTTTGACAGCTGAATAGAATTATAGTTTGTTCAGAATACTACAGGTATTATGAAGATACTTGTAGTCCTACAAGCAGAATTACCTTTTTCCCATTGCATGTTTCCTGCAAGTCTCTTTGCCAGAAACAAAACCAGCCTGCATCTAATTAGCTGGCTATCCTAGGCACAGAAAACCCCCATTGTTTTTTTCCCTTTTTTCCGATACATATATTTGTCTTTCTACAGGCTGAATTCCAAAATCTAGCTAGCCACTGTCTGTACAGAGTCCTGCCAGGATGTACCTTATGTTGCTGAAGGCCTCACTGGATGTGGGATGTTCTTACTGTCTTCAACTGTGTGTAATTCAAAGCTTGGCTGAATCCACAGTATATGTAGAACAAGTCATAAACCATCCTGGCTTTTCTTTACCCAGAATACAGTCATTGATTTCTCATTTGGAAAGTGGCCAGTGTGTCAAACAGAGATTCTTAGATCTCCTTTAAGCCAACCATGTATAACTGCTTCAGGGTGTTCACTCATGGAATAAATACCCTATCCTTATCCTTTATTGAGCCTAAGACATGAAAGCAGCTGAAAGCTTATTTCTTCAGTTAGTAATGTTTCCCTAAAAATGAAATTTCTCCAGTAGAAAGAAGGGACAGCTCTCTGCTGTATGTATAGTTTGATTTGCGAAAGGTCACCTAAGTATCAGTAGTGCATGCAGAAATGGAACAGCGAATTAATGAGCCATCTAGGAATTTTCTGAGATGTATATTCCATAATGCATATGTTATGATGCAGGGAAAAGAGCACAGTATCTTGGTTTATTTAGTGCT